ACTCGCGTTAATCTTGAGCACCTGTTGTTATCAAATGTGTATGAAATCCCAAAAACTAGAATCCCTTGCTGTATAGCTGGTATCTTCGATAAACACTTTGAGCAGCTTTCATTGCTGAGACACAAATTAAAATGTAGTTGAATAAATAAGGGTAAGAGAGGAGAACTACTGTCAAAGAAGATTTATAGTTTGAAGTCCTCTATACCTTCTAGTCTACCTAGACTGCATCATACCATGGAGAAAGGGCTCATGTGCAGCTGAGTAAATGGTAGATCATATGTCAGGCAAAGTCAGTCACTTCTGATTGAGTTTAGACTTTATGAAAGTATGACATGGAGCTAGAAGACCTAAGCCCAAATGTCCAGGGAATTTTTGCAGAAAGACTGGAAGCAGTTACCTGTCTCCTTTAGCTGGAGGTCAGTCTCACAGTCAGGCACATTAACAGGATAAGTACTTCAAGTAGGAGTAGCATGTCTGGAGCAAGTGGTATCTGAAAAATGTCCAAGATTAAGTAAATTGGAACCAATCCAACCAGAATACTAGAAATTGGTGAAAGGCTGAAACCTGGGGGAGCTGCCAAACACAGCTGTCTTCAGGGAGATGGCACACTACACTAGTAGCATACTTAGTGAGAGAGCTTGGAAAACAAGGCGCTAAGAAAATACTATGTGACTGGTGATGCTTCTAGCCCCTGTCTGAATGGTTCAGTATTTTGCAGTCTGCAAAATAACTTGTTGCTCAGTGTCTTAACTGAGTCTGCAGTGCCTTGGTGGTTGAGGCAGTCTTCTGACCAGCTTTGGTCTGTTGGACATAACTTGGAAGTTGTCCTTTCCCGCATGATACTAGAGTCTTCTTTTACCTTCAAGCACGTGATGTGGGGGTGAAAAAAAGCCTCTGGCCTAGAAATATCCAAGTCTTTTTTCAGGAACTCCATTTTCCTAGCATCTGGAGAATATAATGGTGTGGAGAAGAGAGTCATCCTTTATTTGGATAAAGGAATGAGAGAAAGAGGTGCCACTAGTGAATGGGGTTTTTTTCCCCCCCATCTACAAGTAGGAGATGACCTCTCTAGTGTGTAATAGTGCTATTGTTTGACTCCCTAGTAGGAACACTGTTATTTTGGTATTACTGTATTGCTGCAGGCACTGATGCTTTGAGGTACCCAAGCTAGTTCTGTTTCTGCATAGCACAGTTACAACACAGAGCTTATCTCCTTAATGTAGTCGCTAAGACTACAAGGAGGGAAGAAGCAGTTCTAGGCTGCAGTTTGTACTGCTGGAATTTAATGCCAATCCAACGCTAGTTTCTTGTGAAGTGTGTAACCCAGCGTGCTCGCAATGTTGCTGTGTCCTCTCTGTTAGGCTGTAGTCCTCCTGTCTTCTGTTTCTGGAAATCTTTTGCACGTTGACTAAATCCGAAGCAGAGAATATCTCTTTTCCTCTTCTCCAAGTTTCCAGTTTAGAAAAGGGCATACCTTGATGGACTAGAGCACTCCTGATCTATGAATGTCACCAGGCAGAGAAGGGACTTGGGGTTTCAATTTGTGATTCAAATTGGATAATTACTCAACACAATATGGTTGAGCACCCTGACCATCAAGCTTTTGTTTGTAAGTTATTACCATTTTAGAAAAAAACCTGCAGGTGTTTTGACCTGGCCTTGAAAGCTGGCCTGTTATTATCGGTTAGTTAGGCGTTCTCTGAGCAAGAAACTTGGAAAGACATTCAGTTTACATGGCAGTAGTAGTTTTAAGTGCTTTCATAAGGAATTTTCAGACCCAAGAGCAAAGGATTCTGATGAGGTTTTGGCTCCAATTATGCTGTTACTGAATAGGTGTGGTCTGAATATTGGGTTTTGACATTTTCTCTGAATGTATTTCCTTGATGGGGGGATTGCCCTGGAAATAATCTGCCCACCTCAGAGCGGTTATGCAAAGTTAGTCATTGTGGAAAATGTCTTGACAAACACAGACCTTGCTGCTAAGTACCATGTGATGGATGTGTTCTGAATGCTGGGTAAAATACTTGATAGGCGGTCCCAAGTAAGAAGAGTTTTCTAGGCTAGGATACTTCTTGAATTGCAATAGGTGGTACTACTGCTGGTTTGTTCAGAGTGCTAAACCATGTCTGTCTTTTCTAAAAGAAACATTTTTTTTTTTGGGTCCTTTGTAGGCGTAACCTGACAAAGTTATCCCTGATATTTAGCCATATGCTGGCAGAACTCAAAGGTATTTTCCCAAGCGGCCTTTTCCAGGGAGACACGTTCCGAATCACCAAGGCAGATGCTGCAGAATTTTGGAGAAAGGCATTTGGTGAAAAGTAAGTTTCTAACTCTGCTTAAAAATAGAAATGTGGCAACAAATTGTACACAGCACTGTGTATTTTTAAAAATTTTGGTTTGTGGTTTAGAAGAGGTTTTGTCAGGTTAAAATTAACAATGGGAGAGACCTACTAGTCATTTGGTTCACTCTGGGATGAGATACAGCATTGTTCCTACGTTATATTTCCCAGTTCTTTGTCCTGTCTTGTTTTAAATGTGGCAAGTGATGGGTCTTTCCCTCGGAGACTCTTTTACTGTCACAGAGTTTCCCTTGATTATTCAGCTTAAATTGTCTTCTCCTTAATTTAATTCCTTAACTTGTAAGTAAGCTCCATGAACTATGCAAAATAATCTGCTTTCTTCTTCCAGAGGTTACCATGCTCCCAATATTAGTTGTCCTTTAGCTAAGCCATTATATTAAATTCTTTTCATCTTCCCTCCAATTAGTCTTTCCAATCACCTTTCTTCTGGCTTCTCTGAACTTTTGTCAGTTTGCATAATGGCTTTCTTAAGATAGAACGAAGGAGAAAGTGAAGCGCAGTGTACATTTGTGTGCAAACTGTTGAAATGTCAGTTTTAATTTTTGTATCTGCTAAAATGCTGACTAAATGAACTGTGGAGGTGTCCGCAGCAACGTTTGAGGATTAAAGTTAATGGAATTGGGTACTGCTCTCTGACTAGGGTAACTAAGGTACTTCACATAAAGAGTTTAATTAGTAGCTGTCAGAACAAAAAGCAATAATATATTTACTCATGAATAGCACAGTTGTCTGATGCTAGGCATGGTTTTTTCTATGTTTCTAGTCCACTTGATATTTCAAAAGAAGGAAAATACTCCTTTAAACAGGAGCCTCTGTTTTGGCTTCTGATTATCTTCTCCAGTTAAGAGAAGAGAATTGTTTGCAGCTGTTTTATTTTTTTTAAAACTATCTAGACCTCTACTAAAAGACTTAATGTTAACTCCTCCTCTACCAGCAGCAGCATTATGAAATTCTTTATCAAGTGGTGGTATTGTATATAGCGCAGGGTACATACAAGCATTGGCATGATAGGACTGCTGAAAAAAGGGAAAGGAGAAAGCAGAGCTGGACTTCAGATTCCAAAATTTTGCATATGCAGAGAAAATTGTCTAAAGTTCATTTGGCTGCTAATTTCCTGCAGTACCAAGAAATCCTGTGCTTGCATAACACGAATAAACCTCTTGTGGCTAATTTTGATTTTCTTCGCTGCCATTATCATGAAGTGCATACTCACACAAAAAAACCCGTATGAAGTATGTGCATGGTAGTAGTCTTCAGACACATCACATTTACAGGTGGCTTGTTTTTCCCCAGGACTATCGTTCCATGGAAAAGCTTCCGTCAGGCCTTGCATGAAGTACATCCAATCAGTTCAGGGCTGGAAGCCATGGCCCTGAAGTCAACGATTGACTTGACGTGCAATGACTACATTTCAGTATTTGAATTTGATATCTTCACACGACTTTTCCAGGTAAGAATTGGGGAATGTTAGTCGCTTGAAATGTGTCTCGGTTCTTCAGGTTAGACTTTTTCCCAGGACCAACTAACACACTAAAATGACATTATTTATGATGTAAGGGATTTGGTCGTCTTGCTCTTCATCCCCTAAAAAGCTCTAGTAATACTTAGGACCCTATATTGCAGTGAAAGTGTGTGATGCGTCTGATTGTAGAAGAAAAAATTGTCTAAACGTATACTGCAGCTGTAAGGCACATTGAGTATCCTCCCATGAATCAGATTTTCCCTTTCAAAGGTCACTTTTAGACTGAAGTTCTGCCACAACTTCCGTAACCCAGGAAGTGTGAAGTTTAGTTTATCAGTCTGTCTTTCCTTGTCCTTTTCTTTCTTGTCAGATTTATTTTCCATGGGAGGGTTGTTCAGGATGGAGCACAAGCATGAAAATTTGGGCTTCCTAGCTTTTGAACTGACACAGCCAGGATGTTGTGGACATGCCTGTGTTCTGTGCACAAGAAATATCTCTATTACTGATGTGATGTTAATAGTAGGTAAAATTCTAACCCACAGTCTTTAATAGTACTAAACTCAAAAACACAGCTTCTGATGGTGCAGTTGGGTGTTTTGAAGAACAAACACTTACTTCTTTGGCTCTGACTTGCCTTTTCCCATGTGATAGGGTGGGTTGTAATTAAGATATGTCTAGATGAAAAATTCCCATGTTCGGTGTTGCAATGTAGCTGATCTCATTCAGTACTTTTTCCAACTATTGTACATAAAGATCAAGTTAAGAGTTGCTACAGTTTCCAAGAGATGCAAAGTTCTTAGGGAGAGCTAATATTTTCTTTTAGACGAGTTAAGAAATTTGGAAGAATTGGATGAGATTTAGACACCCAAGCCCCTCACAGGATTGAGAGCTTTCAAACGCTTGTTATGACTTCTTGTGCATAACTTTGAAGAATATTTAACATGTATGTGCTGGTTTCTTTATTCAAATCTTAGACTAGCCAGTAATCCTTGCTCCACCCAAGTGAGGTTAGGTGGTTTGTGGATAGTCACAAGAATCTTACTGTGAAACTGGCACAGAGAGGGGAGATCACTTTTCTGAGGCCATATGTATAGGAAGTCGATGTGAGAGATCAGGCTAGTCATGGTTTCTGGTCCTGTGCATAATCTTTTTAAACTCCTGTCTTTATCCCTATCTCAGGAATGAGTAATTTTCTCTGCAGAAGCAGCACAAATTGGTAGCTATTCTTGAGCTGTCTTTTTGTGACCTCAGCGACTTCTCCCTTGGCATTTATTAAAGGAGTTTTGATTAAGGCGTGTCTTAGGTGACATTTTTATCACCGACAAGAGAGAAATTCAAATGCTAAGGCTGTTGCGTGAGAATGTAGGTTTTAGTTCCGCTACTGGGTTTATGGTGGAATAAGAAACCGCTTCTTTAACTGAGGAACTGATCCCTTTGATTAAGGAATATTGTATGTGTTGATACCTTTTAGAAGTGCGTGGTTAATATATTTCTTTGTTGTTTCTATAGCCATGGTCCTCTTTGCTCAGGAACTGGAATAGCCTAGCGGTGACTCATCCTGGTTATATGGCATTCCTAACATATGATGAGGTGAAAGCCCGGCTTCAGAAATTCATTCACAAACCTGGCAGGTTGGTGCTTGGCAGAAGTGGCTTTTTTGATCGTTCCTGTTAACATCGCTGATCAATGCGCTGGCTGAGGAGATAGGTTTTATTTTGTCTTTGTCCTCCTTCCTCAGAAATTTAAACTGTGAAAAGCCCTAGCTTGCCCCATATTTGGAGATTATCCTCCGTGTGGTGACTTACCTCCTGCCCACCCCCACAATCTTCCCAACAGCTCCCTGAGGCCTGAGCAGCACGCAGAGGCAGACACCGCCAGAGTGAGCCTAAACGGTGGGCTGTTTAGGACCACAAATAAGGGAATGTGTCTATAGGTCCCATAACTTTGTGGTGCGTATGGATAAAACCGAGAGAGCTGAGCAGATCTCAGCCTCCAGGAGCAGTCTGCACATTTGAAGCCAGCTTCAGACAGGCCAGGCAGCTGACCAGTATTTGCTGTGGCAGAAAGCAGCATGGTGGGTGGAGTAGGCTGCAACGTGGTGCTGCAGGCTGGGCAGATTTCAGAGGCTGTGGGGGGCAACACATGCTTCTAGGGGGGCTGTGCACCTGAGCAGTTTTGGGCTACCTAATGTCCTGGGTAGACCTTGGCCCAGTGCAACAGGGCTAACAGTTTTCTCTTTATGCCGGAAGGGCCAAGTGTTCATTTCTGGAGGTTGTTACTATGCTGTTAGTTCTGTGCTGGTTTTAAAAATGGAAACCTTGTGTAGTCAGTTGGTTTTGTTGTTTGTTGGGGTTTTTAAAAGTTAATTTGAAACAAATTATTTTAATGATTGTAACTTTTCTTGCTCTGGATTCTGGGTTTAATGTCACCTAGAGGCCAGTGCTAGGATGCTTTTCTCACTTTGTATCAGATTGCAAGGTTCTTCTTTGATCTGCCTGTCGGTAAATTGAGGAAAGCTGGTATAAATCATCAAGTTATTCCTACTAGTTTTTATGTGCTGACTTGAGATAGCCAGACAAAGACTGCCTACTTGACATTTAATCTTTTCTGTCTGTTCCAGTCCAAACTGAAGTTTCTTTTCCTTTATGTGTTTTTAGTTATATTTTCCGATTGAGTTGTACGCGACTTGGTCAGTGGGCCATTGGCTATGTCACTGCAGATGGGAACATTCTTCAGACAATCCCCCACAACAAACCTCTTTTTCAGGCACTGATTGATGGCTTCAGGGAAGGCTTGTAAGTAACTTTATCAAAATTAACTTTTTTGCCCTTTTTCACTGTGAGTTTGTTTTATAAATCTTAATCCTGTGGTGAGGTCTTAAAGTCAGTTGAACGGTAAAATGTACCTTCTGGGTTCATGACACATTGTCTGCTTCACAGGAGAGGCAGCACGTTGCAGAGGTCAAGCAATCACTATTGACATCGCTGAGCCCCTTTTGGACATGTATCAGCTCTTACTTTTTATTGAGACATTGATTCAGCAAAACAGTTTAATTGTATGAATAGTCCCATTGATGTCAGTGGAATAATTCTTACGCTTAACTGTTTTGGCACTTGAGAATACTCAGGCGACTATCTTTTGCACTGGAGAGCTGTACTGTCCTTTGCAATAGCAGATGATGGGTGTGTGTCACTGTTTCCCTTATCACAGAGTCTTTTCCAGCCGAGTCCCTAATTTGAGCCATCACAACTGATATTATGGCATAAGTTTTTCTTATTCTGGATATTACAGTTTCACTATAGGATGATTTAAGAAGAGTAGTCTGGGACCATAACATCCTTTTTAAAATAAAAATTGCTGCCAGCAAGGAAGACACACTTCTTTTTATTTTTAAGAATGACATGTTTGGTTTTTGTCCAGCAGTAAAATTCTTCCAAAACTTCTTTCGCATTCAGAATACCTTGAATTCCCACCCTTTGCTTCTTACCCTCATTCTTTCTTTCCTCCACCATCCCCACAAGAAATGTTATATGTGTGTTTGTGTGCATGTGTGTATGTATGCATGTGTGTATATGCACATACAGAGATATCTTTTTTTCTCCCCAACTGCTTACAGTTATTTATTTCCCGACGGCCGGAATCAGAATCCTGACTTGACTGGCTTGTGTGAGCCCACACCTCAGGACCACATTAAAGTTACACAGGTGAGCAAAGTATTCTATCCCATCAAACTGGCTTGCTTTCTTCCTAATTTCTAGCCTCCTTAGCTGTTTATACAATTCTGTCATACTTGGTATCCCCAAAGTTTGCTTTTAAGGCTGATGTATTTTACAGGAATTGCAGAAAACTTTGAATGATAGGAATGGGCAGAGGAGATTGCAAAGGTTAGGTGAAGCTTTATGCAGGGCTGACAGATCTTAAGATACTTTTTTTTTTTTTTTTAGAATGTTCTGCCAAATATTCATTCTTTTGTTCCATCCAGCATGTCTTGAGCCCTGCTTTCCCAGGCTGTTCTTGGGACACCGAAATGAAAATCTGGGATAACTTGAAGCCCACTTTTTTGAGCGCTTGACTGATGTATCTAATACATAAAATTGTAGTGAAATCTTTGCAGACTTCTGTTCTCCTTTGCATTGTGTTCTTGTCTTTGGAATTTATTTATTTTTTTCCTGCAAATCTTGTGGTGGTTTTCTTGTAGCTGTGACTAATCATGCTTGTTATTTTACAGTACCAATCATGTCTGTCTATCTTTCCCCAAGGAACAATATGAATTGTATTGCGAGATGGGCTCCACGTTTCAGCTGTGTAAAATATGTGCTGAAAACGACAAGGATGTGAAGATTGAACCCTGCGGCCATCTGATGTGCACGTCCTGTCTCACTGCGTGGCAGGTGAGGCATTGCCTCTTGTTAATCTCTGAGTGAAGCTAGTTGCTCTTTTACAGAAGTGGTGTATTCTCTTCTCAAAACTGTTCAGTTTCCTTCAGGTATGGAGATAAGATAGCATAACTGAGGACTTAAACACATAGTTCAGTAATATCAGTGCTTCAGTGCCAGTTTCACCAGCACAGGGAGAAGCTGGTTAGATGCCTGATCTCTTAATCTAGGAACAGGCAAGCGCAAGGACTTGCTGAAAAACGTTTTCTCTGCTTCAGAGGGAAAATAGTCCCCATAAGCGTATCACAGTTTGCCTTTGTGTCTTCCTCTCAGTTGAAAGGTACCTGCCAAGAAAGCAGGTTTAAACCTCTTTGTATATTAACAGTGTTTAATTTCTGCATCATAGTGGCTGTTGTAACAGATCTCTTATCTTCCCTGAAGGAATCAGAAGGCCAGGGATGTCCTTTTTGCCGCTGTGAAATCAAAGGCACGGAGCCAATTGTAGTCGACCCATTCGACCCCAGAGGAGGAGGAGGATTATCGCGGCAAGGGGCAGAAGGAACTCCCTCGCCCAATTATGACGATGATGATGACGACAGAGCTGATGATTCACTCTTCATGATGAAAGAACTCGCTGGTACCAAAGTAAGGTCACCAGAGCGTGTGCTAGTAGATGTGACAGTATGTACAAAGACCGCATGTTCTCCATCAGTTTCCTGTGGTCTTTGTGATTTGTGTGTGTGAGGGCTGCCAGACCTTATAACAGGAAAGATTTTACTCAGTACGGAAAACGGGGCTTTAGGTTCAGTTTTGTCAGTTCTACTAAGTTCTACACTGTCAGTTCTATTAAGCAATGGTGATCACACTTTGAAGTCTTTGATCTTTTATGGGTTGTCTTGAAAGAACCCTTAGAAGGGTGAAAAGGCTGGCTTGACCTATTGGAGTGTAAGATCTAGGTTTGTAACACTTCCCTGCATGCTTAGCAATGCTGCTTTTGATTTATTAGCTATGGTTCACTCATATCAGCAAAAATTCATCCATTTTCCCCAGTGATGAATACAGCCAACCAGATAGAGTCTTCCCAAGGTCCTGATGACTAATGGGGTAGAGGGCAGGCTATTTTGCTGAGGGAGTCAGTTTGACTATGATCTTTTTATATGGTGTCTGATAAATTTGTATAATAAAGGTGTGATAACTCTCTGCCATTAGTGCTACGTCCTGCCAGGAGATGTGTACAAGACAGGCATTCTTTATAGATCCCTGCGTGTTTTTTTTCTAAAAGCTCGTTGCTGCTTTTGCATACCTGCACTTAGCATTGTTTTACTGCATAGGGAAGTGGGTTTGAATTTGGCTAATTTTTAACAGTTGCGTTCACTAAAATAATCTGCCTTTCCTGGTCAGAAAGAATCCTCTACACTGGTTTACCTATGATCGTATTTCTCTTTAGCTTCCACTCTTTGAAAAAATCTGCTAAACAGTAAACTGTATCCCTGGAGGTAGTGTTTATATGCATAACTTGGGGAAGCAAAGCAATTTCCTCAGGGTGACATCCTGTGATGGTTTGCAGAAGGCTAGTACTCTGTATTTGTTGGCAGTAGTGAGTTCAAACCTGTGTAAAGCTTTTCAAAATTAGAAAGCACTAGCCTTGCTTGTAAAATAAACTTGATGAAAAAGAGAAGAACAGACACTGTTCTGATTTGTTAGGTGGAAAAACAGCTTTCCAGGGACAAAAATGGAGGTTTTGGTGCACACAGCCATGACGCTGTAGTCAAGGTAGTTTGCACAGCGGTGCCTGCAGTGAGAAGTAGGTTTTGCAGCAGATCGTGCCCTCTTGTGTTGAAAAGCAATGAAGCTTGTTCTGCTCAGGGCCTAGCAAGGCAGGTCTGTTAGTCCAGCAAAACAGCTTGTCTTTTACTGCGCCATTGCTAAGCGTGCGTTTTTAGTTGTGGGCCACAGCTAAGCCTGTTGGTAATCTTCAAGGCTTGCTGCAGGTCAAATGCTGTTGTGCTGTGAAATTGCCTGCATTTACTGGTGTGTGGTTGTTACTAATACAGTAATTTGTTACCAGTAGCGATGTTGAAGCCAGTACAAGTCACAGAGCTTGAAAGGCTCTCCAGAGAAAAGGAGTGCTACTGGATTTTGTCATTTGTTGATTTTCCCATTCTGTTCTTTTTCAGGTTGAGCGTCCTCCTTCTCCGTTCTCAGTAGCTCCACAGGCCACCCTTCCTCCCGTGCCGCCGCGACTGGATCTTTTACAGCAGCGAGTGTCCAATCCACCTGGGGCTTCCAGCCCTGGGACCACTTCAAAGGTCAAACACACTGTTTGCCCTTTCAGCTATGATTTTTCTGGGGCCGGCAGGACGAAGAGCATTCTGGTGAACCCTGAATGTTCTCTGTGACATCCCTAAGTACTTTCACACAAGACTTTTTCTTCTTCCTTTTCTGTAGTTCTGTTAGGCCACTTTCCTTCCATTCCCCACGAAAGCCTAATCTGTCCTGAAAGCAAATGCTCCTTCTGGAATCCATGGTAGGAGAGTCCCTTTTTGCTGTTTAAAGGGCATGTCTTTTCTTCACATTCGTCCGTGCAATTGCTAGGAAGAGGTTTGTCCCAAGCTGAAATGCTTGCTTACTTAGGGTGACTGGTGCCTATGCCCTTTGGAGCTGCATTTATGCGCTTGTGTTTTGTTCTAGCTAGCAGGCTAGATGTGGGAAGGTGTCATATTCCTGTCCCAAATATTTCTTCACAAATTTTGCCATCAAGCATTTCTTCAGATAGAAGACTAAGGAAGGAATGAAATGTGTGTGACTGGGAGAGATTAACTGATTGACTAGCAGAAGGCAGTAGCGTGATCTTAGTGGCATTTGGTCATTGGCTGTTGAGATAGGCACTGGTTCTTCAGCCAGTTTGGATGAAGTAATGAAGTGATGCTTGAAAGTTCAGGCAGAGGAAAATACCTATTTCTATGAATATTCATTGCTGACTGATGAATGTTAACTTGTATAAATAACCCACAGTTGAATCATTTTTCTAAATGATGGGTATACTTTGTTTGGAATCCAATCTAATACTGCTGTAAGCATTTTTTTTTCTTCAAGAAAAATAATCTGGTGTGTTTAGTGCCTAGCAGTAGCTACACGCAGTTACTGCGTTACCTCTTTGAGCCTGTAGAGAAGCTGTCTCTGGAGGGTTAACTTGTGGAGATGCAGAGAGTTATCTTCACATCCTTTGAGATAATTTCCTGTAAAAATAGATAAAATGAAAACCAAAAGTCACCCTTCTGCCACCCACCTCCCTCCTTTTTATCTTTTGTGGCTAGACTGCCTTTGTTAAGCGATATTTTACAGTCTTCTGCCTTCCAGGCTGCACCTGGTACTCTTCACAAGGATAAACCTTTGCCGATACCACCCACGCTCAGAGATCTCCCGCCGCCACCGCCTCCGGACAGGCCACATTCCATTGGGGCTGAAGGTCGACCTCAGAGGCGTCCCTTGCCCTGCACGCCAGGAGACTGTCCTTCGAGAGACAAGCCACCCCCTGTGCCCTCCAACCGTCAGGCTGATCTGTGGCCATCCAGGCCGATTCCAAAAGCCCCATCTGTAGCTCTCAGTCCTGGTGACCCTTGGGCTGGGAGAGAACTGTCCAACAGGCACTCGCTTCCCTTTTCCTTGCCCTCTCAGATGGACTCCAGGGCTGACAGCCATCGGCTTGGAAGCACACTCAGCCTGGACAACCCAATGGTGAGTAGGCCTGCTGGAGGTGAAGGTGATCTGTGAGGAAGTAAGTCTTGCAAGGTGCCCTCTTCTCATAGTTTGCATCCAAATAGGGCAATCTTGTGCTAAGGGAGACATGGAAAGGAACTGCTGAATGCCCGGCAAGGGAGAATAATGGGAAGACTTCTTAGGGAAGTGCTTTCGTGCCTCTTGGGAGCAAGGCTGAAATTCCAGTTTGAGCAGTCATGAGCCACAATTTCATGATCGTTGTTCACCTTTCAATTTTGAAAAACTGAGAATGTTTTGTGTTGGGAGCTGGTATGCTGGAAAAGTGTAATTTACTCTTTTCAGTTTTCAGTCCTGAAAAACCTACACACGGTAGCTATGATTAGTTTAACACAGTAAAATCTGAGTTAAATTTGGATCTGTTACTGTTACCAATGTCATGATGTGTGACTTAGTAGTCCAACATATTGTTCTCTACAAGAAATCCCAGGCAGTTTTGCTTTCTTTGATTCCATTCCCCTAATTTTTCCTTTTAAAACCTCCAGCTTTCTAAAATTGAAAGCAAGTACATTTTTAGCAAGATTGTCTAAGAAAACGACACTTGCACAGTTGTCATTCTGTTTCCGTGTGTGTGTGCTTGTCTGCATCCTTTTCTTCTTGTGCCCCGTTTTGGCCTATTTCAGCTGAATTTGCCAAAGCCATTGGAGTCTCAAAACTGAAGTTATATGAAATATTCAAATTATAAATAATAATTCAAAATAAAATATAAAAGTCTCAAATATGAAGTTCCTACAGCTTTCGTGTAAACAAGCAGTTGGCTACAGGAGAAGAACCCTGCTTGTGCCCTCACTGAGGGAAAACTGTCACAGAACTACTGGATTTCTAAGGTGTCAGTAAATGCTTGGAATAAATGAAGATTCCCGCAGAGGATGTGTTCAATGACTGGCTGACAGCTTTGCCACTGCGCTGGTATATGTGGTGTTTCTGATTCCTGGTTTGGAATTTTTTCTTCCAGAGCTTGAACAGTGGTCCAACGACAACCTCAGAGTGTGAACACTCCAAAATTAAACCCTCCTCATCTGCCAATGCGATCTACTCCTTAGCTGCCAGGTCTGTTGTTTTCTAGCAAAAGTGCTCTTTTATAACTTACAGAATGGTAACTGTAGGGCCCTGTCCATGCTGGTGCCAGGGACAGAATTTGACACAACTCTGTCAGCCTTAGTTTCAGTCTCTGACAGATTCAAATTACACAATCTAGAGAAAGTAGATGAAATCAGCGTCCCAAAGATCTGTGGATGGTGGTGGTAGTTACCGTTGGCTGTGGCAACAGGAAATAGGCTACAGTTGCCATTAGCTCTTTTATGAATTCACTTCTGAGTTGGTCTTTGTGTGAAGTAGGGATGTATAACGTGTATTATATTGGAAACTTCCTTTTGCATAGTGACCTTGTGCCAGCGTGTCCTTGCAGCTGGGCTTCTGAGAATCCTGAAAACCAGGTTATTTCTTTAGGCAGGATCACTATAAGATGACTGCTTATTACTTCTGCTGTGGATTTTGAAGCCACTTTGATATTAATTAGATTTGGCGTAAATGTTTTTCTGATGTTTGTATCTTGTTTCTTCTGCTTCCAGACCACTGCCTGTACCAAAACTGCCTCCTGGAGAACAGTCTGAAAGCGATGAAGACACCGAATACATGTCACCATCCTCTCTGCCTGTGGTGCCTCCAGGTCCTGCTGTACAAAATCCAGAGATCAAAATGCCTTTGGAAATGACTCAGAGTTTACGGTGAGATTCTGTTTGTATGTACCGTGCTTCCTCTTCACAGCTCTGGGAAAGCGTATTTGTTGACAAGGGTGGAGATTTTGCTTGCTCGGTTTGCTGAATTGCCCCAGTGATACTCACCAGATCTAGACTAACACAGCTAACTGTAAATGAAATGTGACTACTGCTCTTTTGCAGAATCCTTATACAGTATTACAAGGAGTCAGATAACCACCCCGCCCTCTTTCTGCCAGTAACCTTTTGAGAGCAGCAGCAACTGAAATTCAAAATTCTGTTAAAAGGTTGGGTTCTGGTGGTATCAATTAAACTTTTAAGCTGATATGCTGTATTGCAGTAGACGTTGCCAGAACATTTTCTGGAACAAATATCCTTTCACAGAACAGCGGTGATTTCACTTTGAAGCAGGGATCTGTGCAGAATCTCAGTCACAAAGGCTAGGTGGCGGTGATTGCCCACTGTCGCTTGTCTGACGGGAAATGTGTGTTCTCTCCCTCAGAGTTTTAGACCGCGACCAGCAGACGGATGGCTGTATGTATGAAGCAATGTACAACATTCACTCCCAAGCTGCGTCCTCTGCTTTTGAGATTGTCAACACTTCTGGTGAGTGGGTGTGCTAAAACAGCAACTGAGAAACTGGGGTACAATGAATTGGTCCAGTCCCAGATGGAATAGCATTTTAGGCTAAATTAAATGTTATTTGCTTTCACTGTTAAAATAGCTAGGATGAATGTGGAAACATCTGGGTCTGGGTACTGCAGAGTGCATGTGGGAATGCTGTTGAGAAGCCTAGTTGGAATACAGCGTAAAAATACTCAGCAGTTGTTTAAAAAATTGCTGTTTTGAAGATTTTTCTGGGCAGCAGCTGTCAGTCCACATCTATCATAAGTATTTTTAATCTAATACTCTCTTCTGGAAAGAGCTTCCATTGAGTGTAGGGTGCTGGCAGCAAGACCTTAGTCCTCTGTCCTGACAATGTTTGTGGACTACAGAGGAACAGAGTCTGCCTTGATAGCCAGAGGCTCTGTTCAGCCCCAGAGCTCAGAATGCGCCTCTTTTCTAGATGAAGGGGATCTGGCAGCAGCCACTGCCAGCAATGGCCCTGAAGAGTCAGAAAACGAAGAAGATGGCTATGATATCCCCAAACCACCGCTACCAGTTGCTATTGCTCGTCGCACACTGTCTGATATCTCCAATGCCACACCTGCCTTCAGCCGAATGTCTTTGGAAAATGACCCCGTAACAGGTTAGAGAACACTCATATTCTTCGTGTTGTAGTGAGTACTGATGGCTTGCTATGCACGTTTGAAACTTCTCTCACTCGCTCAAGGTTTTCTATGTAAGCTGTAAAATCAGGTTTACAAGGCAGAATTACACTGATTCTTAGGTGCTCAGTTTGATTTACAACTTGGAATGGACTGCCTTGGTCATTTAATCACTGAGCTAGCAAATCACATTTAAATCACAGTTAGGAAAACCTTTCCTCAGCTTAAAGAATATTCCTTAAGCCACTGTTTCCTACAAGGCATGGCATACCTGTTATACCAGAGCGTACCAGGGCGTGAAACAGAACTTCAGAACATTACAGCTGATCACTGCTCCCAGTAAAAGGTGACATGGCTGGCCTTGCAGAGCTTGTGTGGCTGTCTTGGCTGCGGTTGTTGCCAGCAGGTGGCACAACTGTACTGTTTGAGGCTGTCAGTTCCTTTGAGCAGGGACCGAGTGGCTCAGCAAGGTCAGCTTGTTGTCCCTGGGGAGTAGAGGACGTCTTGTTCTTCTGGCTGCAAGGCACATTCTCCAAGGCAGGACCTAAAGGCTCGTCTCTTCAAGAGCCTTTCTGAATAATGCTTGACTTATTCCCTGCAACCGCCCAGCAGCTCTAAAGGAAGCTCTAAAACTCTTCTTGTTGGGGGGCTTGCAGCATGTCTGAACACCCCGACAATTTGCCAAGTAAGAGGAGTGAGTTTCTTTTTCCTCCTGGAGGTAGATGGCAGGCAGAGACTCCTGTACGCAGGACCACTTGCCCGAGTCTTCTGTTCACCTGCTCACCAACTCCTCCTTCCCTGATCTTGCCCTTCTTCAGCGCAGAGAAGAGTTTACTAGGGCAGAGAAGTTGATTAGCTTTTGCCACTCCTATTTGCTCCCTGCCTCATTTTTTAAGCCTGTCACCGTGTCTGTAGAATGTGGCTGACAAGGATAAAAAGGGGCAGAGAGAGCTCACATCCTCCTCCCAGATGAAGTACTGAGCTTAATCATTGATGCCTCTTTGTTTATACAGCCCTGAAATAACAATGCTCTTGTCCTGCTTTGTAGCGTTAGGAGTTCTGCTAATGAAAAACGCTGTGGAAATGCTGATTGTTACTGCTCTGGGAAGCATGTGCAGTTTTCTGAAACCCTGGCTATTGGCTACTGCTGAAGCCTGATGTTAAGCAAGCATGACTAGTATGGAGTACATTTTGGCAGAGTTATGTTCTCATGCATTGTGCCTTACAGTTTAGTTTCTTAATTGTTTACCAAAAAAACCTGTGCTAGTGGTTGCCCTTTCAAATTGACCCATGGTCTCTGAGATTTGATCCGGTTCAAGCTGAAGCAGCTATTTTGAAAGAATTTGAGGGAGAGAAGTGGGTAGGCCTTTTTCTCAAATGTACAAAAAGCTTTCTATGTGTAAGAAGCTTGAACTTTGAAGATTAGGGAGTTGAACTGCATTGTGGTTGGTGAGGAAGCTTCAGCGAATCTGTTTTCTGAAGGCCCTTCTCTATCTGAGTGCTTTTGGTACAAGTTTTTCAGAAAGGCTCCACAATGACGGCTCTTTTCTGACCAGTGCTGCAGTGCCCACTCTTAAAAAGGGATTGCTTGAATTTGTCTGTTGTACATCAGTTCTACTGCTAGAAAACTCTGTCTTGAGTGCCTTGAGGAGCTTCTCCAGAAGACAAATAAAACTTTCTTTAGGGCGATGTCAAATATTTATGCAGAAAAGTTTCCTGTGATTTGCAAAGTAGGAAAAAATGCTTTCTGCAATGATACAGGAGGTTAGAACTCAGAAATTATCAGATGTTGGATTAACACATTAAGCAATGTGCTTCTTCTCCAAGGCAGTAGCTAAATCCTTGGAGTGTTTGGTATCTTGTTTGGTTTATTGGCTATTCTTTTTTCTTCCCAGGAGTAGTGCATGATGTGGCTACTGGCAAGTGACACATCTGAATGACTAAGACAAAAGGCAGACCAGGCTGAGCTTACTGATCTGCCGTAGCTGCCAGCTGTTAGGTAGGGTGAGCTTCAGCAGGAGCTCTTGTAGATGGCCCTGGCCTGCTGATGGGCTGCCAGAGGAAGAGGAACAGATCCTTCAGAGAACATAATTCATTTGCTGGAGCGCTTGTGATGGATGATGGATGAGTTGTATCTGATGGATCTGGTTTTATGCATGCACTCCCTCAGCACACTGCAATGCAGACAGCAGTTCTGTGAGGAGAGATCAGCATCTGGGCAGTTAAACTGGAGGTTGCTGTCTAATTCTAGAAGGAAATGGGATGTTTGGTAAACTTGCATATTCTCTGTGTCATTTTTTCCCAGCAGGTCTCTGCTTCTTATTCTAAGGCTGATATCTGAGCTCTGCTCACACGCACGCATACATCCCTGGTCAATTTTTTCTATTTACGTGGTCTTACCTTAATAAACGAGCCTGATGTGGCCTCCTAATTAAAAAAAACCTCCGTAGCCATTTTTGCACACGAGAAGGGAAGCTGAACTAGTCTGTACCGTTGTGCGAGGGATAGGCTGGTTGGAGGCAGTGGTGCAGCTTTCAGTGGCGTGTTTTCGAAGTGCCGTTTATCAGTCTAATGTCATTCCCACTTTGTTCCAGGCAAGAATCACATGTCCTTTTTTGAAGTGATGCATTTATTTCTCCTTCCAGGTTTTTCAGATGGCTCTCAAGTTCCAGAAAGGCCGCCGAAGCCGCTGCCACGAAGAATAAATTCTGAGCGGAAAGCAGGGAGCTGCCAAACGGGCGGAGCCAGCAGTGGGACCAGTGCGTCACTGCAACTCTCCAGTGAGATCGAGAATCTAATGAGCCAAGGCTACTCATATCAGGACATTCAGAAAGCACTGGTCATTGCACATAACAATATTGAAATGGCCAAGAATATTCTCCGGGAGTTTGTTTCCATTTCCTCCCCTGCGCACGTGGCCACATAGCACATTACCTCCACACCTTCAACTTCTGTGGACCAACTGCCTGGGCAGCTGTAGCCCAGCTACGCACCAAAGGGGAAGGGGGTTCCTTTAGAGACTTCGTGCTGAGGTCAGTCCTGCCTCTTAAGAGAATCAGTTATCAGGTTTTTGTGGTTCCAGATTTCAAAGCAGTGGAATGAAATGGAGCAGAGTGGTGTTTTATACAGTGTACGTCTTGGAGTCCTTTACCCCTACCTCTTGTTTGAGAGAACAGATTTATTTCCGGGGTGTTGGTAGAGAAAGGTATCGCGACAAGGGATCCCTGAGCTGATGCCCTGGAGGCTGGGGGGAGTGTTTTGTGCTGTGAATTCTAAGTGAATGCTCTGAGAAACAAAGTCTCGAGGTCGGTGTGGTGTGTCCTGTGGTTCATGGTACTAGGTTTGGATCTGTTTGCTGCTGTGTGTCTGGCTCAGGATTTTTAGAGCAGCTGTGGGAGGTCACTTTCTGCTGGGACTAAATGGGAGACTTTGGAAGAATCTTTTGATTGCTTCCTGTTTGCCACGGCGTTTCCCTCTTGCCTGTAATAATAGCATTTATTGCTTATGGTTAAAGTCCTCCCTTTTTGCCTGGAGGTAGCGTGACTAGCTTCTGTCAGGCATTTTGATCTTGACGGTGCTGGGAGTTGGATTTCTCTCATACGTGTCCTCTTGCCGGCAGCACTGGCAGCACCAGATTCCAGGCAGCTAGATGTGCTGGAAGTTTTGCGTGTTTTTGAGGGGTGGGAGAGGGTGGGAAGGATTTGAGAGAGAGCAAAGAACTGGCTGCCGCTTCTCCTTTTTTAGCCTTGAGCATTTTGTGCTTCAATGCTCAAACTTGATTGTGGCCCTGCTGGGCTTGAGCAGCCGTCACTGGACACTCCCATGCACTCTTTCTCTAGGAATGTTGCACCTGGTAAATATGATGTTTTATTTAACTTAATTGCATGGTGGCTGTTGCAGACTAGTGGCCTTCACGCACTTGCCATCATCTCCTTCAGAGAGCTTTTGCAGGAGCCAGCTGTCTTCGTGCCAGGCTGTTTTGTGGAATTGGTCGATGCAGCTGATGTATTCGTTGGTATCTTACCTGCTTTGCAGTAAAAGAACTGCGGCAGTTCTCTGCATGGCTATCAAAACAACATGAGGGCTCTTCTTTCCATTTCCATTACTCTGAGGTATTGCCAGAGCTTGTGTTAAAACAAATCTGGGAAACTTCCGCATTTGCAAAATAATCACACGGCTTTAAAGGCAGCACTCGGCTGTAACGCTGAAAAAAACCTGACTTGCATATTCAGCTACTTAACTGTGTTCATATATGCTTGATGTGCGAGAAGTGTGGGGTTCCTTTTGAGAGGATTTAAATCAAGTGGGGAGACACAGGTCACAGCCTCACAGATGAACAAGTGCTCCGTGTACACTGAGAGGCTGTTAGGCTTTTGAAGCATGTCTAGCATTATTTGCGTCTCTCTGAGGGCAGCAGTAGTCACTAGGCAAAGGGTTACAACTTCAAACATTGTTGGAGTGATTACAGCAGTTGGATGCCGTTTAGCCTCTCAAAGAATCTAGTAGCTGGGCCCAGATCTCGGAGAAACAGATTGCAGTTGGCAGAGAGGACTTAACAAGTATTAGCAAAGGGAACGAAGCATTAAATGTTTGTTTTATGTAGAGTATACGTTCCTCTCTAGATCTACAGCTCTATAAATTGATGCAGTGGGTTCCAGGCAGTTGAGAAGTACAAACTGTCTCTCTTTACTACCCTCCTTTCTGTAGTAAAGAAAATGTTCTCTGTAACCATAAGGAGATCTCCTGCAACACTTACAGGCCATCACCACCGTTGCTATTTTGGGGCCAGGTTTGAAACTTGCAAATGCAGCGTACTGCTGAGATTGATGTCAGTGGGCATGGTGCTCTGCAGAGAGAGGTCAGGCTCAGGCAAGAGCAGGGTCTGACCTTGGTGAAGGTCATGTCAGTGCACATTGCACTCGGGGGGAAAAGAGCTGTTCTTTCTTCCTCTGCCCACAGGAGCAGCAGTCAGCGGTCTCGTGAACCAGTCCTGCTCTTTCTGTGTGAAGTACTCTGCCAGGTATGCGTGGCAGCCTTGGGCAGTGTGTCTGTGGGAGCTTCCAGAGAAGCAAGCCCAGCACTGGTGCTGCTGAGGCAGGAACGTGGGGCAGCTCTGGTGGGTCTCTCCGTAGACCTTCATGTTACACTTGTGAGCCTGAGCAAGCAGTCCTAGCGTATGGGAGTTACTTCCTGGCTTTGTTCTGGAGAACCAGGTAAAGACCCTTTTGTGAGGGAGCACTACGGTTTTGTTTCCCTCTTTTTCATATTCTCTCCAGTGCTGCCACTAGCTCCGTGCTGGGTTTGGAGCCACTTCGTTTCTGGCTTGCTGTGTAAGCTCAGTGCGAGAGCGTTCACGCGTGGCCTGTGACTCTCGCCACTGCCAAGGCTGCGTAAGAGCCAAGTCCAGCCAGCTAGAAAGCCTTAACTCTTGTCTTGCACAGTGTGTGTGATCAGAGTAGTGATGCCCTGTCCCATACAAGCCCTTTATTACAGGCTTGTTGTAATGTTAAATTAAATCATGCCTGGCAGAGCTATTACCGGCCTGTCTTAGGGGTGTACGTGCTGAGAGGCGTTCCTGTGGGTATTGTTGCAGGTATTAGAGAGAGCAATCTTTGTGGCATGTATCACTAATTTTTCTGCATGTGTCCTTTCTGTGCACTGTTTGTGTCTTAAACTGATATAAGAAACTTAAGTTTTGGCTTTTCTTCCTTAGACATGTAAGTGTTTGCTAGTACCACTGAAGTGCAGCAGAGTCCTGACCATGTCTTATGGCTGTGCTCTGTGAAGTCAATCCAGGCACTGTACAGTGTATTTTTGGTTGTTGTTCTTTCAGAAAGGTAAGCCTAAGATTGATTTCTCTTTTTTCCCTTCACCTCCTTGATCTGTAGTCTTCAGAAGTTAACTTTATGACGCTACTTTAAAAAGAAAGGAAAAAAAAAACCAAAACCCTGAATGTCTAGTGCCTTTCTTAAGGGAATGCTGCATCGCTAGGCTGGATCTAAGTATCTATCCCTCTGTGAAAAGGAAGAGCCCAAACTAGACAAGCTGTAAAGATGCCTTCGAGCGTGAGACTGCTTTGAAAAGGGTGAAAAGAAGGAGCAAGAAAGATGGGCAATTGTCACTTCAGCTGTCACACTGGGTTTTGTAGTATTTCAGCTGTGGAGGGTTCCTACGTTACCTAACGGTGACTTGTCTGGGCCGGTGCTGTACTAAGCTTGGCGTGAAGACGGTAGAATTGTATGACAGGCTCAGTTTTGCTTGTAACAAAATACGAGTTCTGCTGGTAAAAAATGCTGGTTTTCCCCCTACCTGTCAACCCCGGACACGAAGCAAGCAGAAAACATTTTGTGCAGTAAGAGCTGGGCACAAAATGTGTGGGACCAGGATGTGCCTCTGCACGGCGAGCAGCAGGTAGCTGTGGAAAGCTGGCAAGTACTGGCTGTTCTGAGCAGGGTTTCCAGCTGACCTAGGACGTTCAGTGCCACCGTGGCTGAACGGGAAGCCGAACTGAGACGTACCCTGCCAGGGGGGTGGTAAAACTGGTCTGCTGCGCTGCCCTTGCGTGTCTGTCTCTGCAAGCGCTGCAGCTTGAGGCATGGGGTGTCTCTGTGGGAACCAGCAGGCTTCTTTCACTACCAACAGCGTCTCTGCATGCCCTTCCCTGAGCCCTTGCCTTGGGGGAGCCGGATCGGCTCCGAGTGCAGCATGTTGCTTCCTGCACTAGACCGATTACGCTACTGGAGCTAATCCTGAGGCAGGGTCATTGTTGTAAATGGTTTTCTTTCAGTTGAGCAAGAAAAAATGCAACTCCCGGGGCACTTTCGTAAAGGTGCCACTTTAAAAATTAGTGGGGAATAAGGACGCTTGTTTTTAAAGTTCCTAATAGAAATCTTTTTTGAAATTCCCAGTGGGGGGGGAACAGTTGTTCTTTCTCTCAAATGACAAATACCGATTTGTATAATATCAGTGTTAAAAATGTTGAGATTTTCACAAAATATTTTAAAAAAATTATAATAGTGTCATTAATATAAAAATATAATAGCAGTATTTAATCCTTTCAGATCTGTAAAGAATAAGGAAAAACAGAAGGTAAATATTCTTACAGAGAGTAGCTGAGCTTTAAGGTTCACTTGGTTTAAAGAAGTCCTCATTTTGTTTGCAAAGGCATTGTTAATGTTTAGAGGTTATACTAATGTTATTTATTAATTGTTTCCATTCTTGTATGCTGCCCACTAAGAGCTTCTTTGTTTGGGATTTCATTCACCTGTGTCAGTAAAAAGAAAACAAAACAAAGTTTTATTTTTAAATAAAATTTCCTTTGTTGTAGCAGATCGTCTGCGTTGTGTTGGTTCTGTGAGGCCTGGAAAGAGACCGTCCCGTTCGAGCCGGTCTCAGTCGGCTTGTTCAGGGTGCCGCGGCCCGAGACGGTCAGGTGGTCGCCTGGACCTCTTGCAGACGGTGACCGGCTTTGTAGCTGCTGTACCACACTGACCCGTCACGGTCACATTCCCGCCGTGGGTACTGCCAAACAGCGAGCAGGCGGGAGTCGCACGGCGGTCACACCACGCGGGCTGTTCCGAGAGCACGGCAGCTCTACGAGACGCGATTAATAGAGTCTGTAATCCAGCAGGACCTGCCAGAGTCTGACAGCCACATTACCAGGCTCCTTACCACCCAGAGACGAAGGGAGGCCAGAGGGTGAGGACGCAGGGGTCAACTGAGGACATTGAGGTCAACT